CAGTGGATACCACCAAATCAGAATTCGTCCAGGAGACGAATGGAAAACCGCTTTCRAAACAAWCGAAGGGCTCTTCGAATGGTTAGTCATGCCATTCGGGTTATCCAWCGMACCAAGCACTTTCATGCGCCTAATGCATCAGGTACTTCTTCCTTTTTTACATAAATTTATAGTTGTCTACTTTGATGACATCTTAGTCTATAGTAAAACAAGAAGTGACCACATTACACACTTGGACACTCTGTTTTCAGCCCTACACCAAAATAAACTGATCATAAATATCAAAAAATGCCTCTTTCTAGTCTCAGAAATCTCTTTTCTAGGGTTTATTATTAGTTAGCAGGGGTTACAAATGGATCCAGATAAAATTAAGGCTATTTCTGATTGGCCTGAACCCAATTCCATATCCAATGCTTCCTCGGCTTAGCTTCTTTTTACAGAAAATTTATTAAGAACTTCAGCACTATTGCGGGCCCCCTCACTGATTGCCTAAAAAAGGGCAACTTCCAGTGGTMTCAAGCTCAAAAGCAGAGTTTCCTACATCTGAAACAGAAATTAACRAACAGCCCCRTTTTGAAACTGCCCGACTTCACCCAACSCTTTGAGGTAGCCGTAGACGCTTCTGGGGTTGGTATTKGAGCTGTTTTATCCCARAATCAACATCCGCTTGAGTACTTTAGTGAGAAATTAAGCCCCTCTCGCCAAAATTGGAGTACATACGAGCAAGAACTATATGCTCTTGTGCGAGCCCTTAAACAATGGGAGCACTACTTGCTCAGCCACGAATTTATCTTATTTACTGACCATTTCTCTTTAAAGTTCCTTCACACACAGAAATCTATCAGTCGTATGCACGCTCGATGGCTTCCTTTTTGCAGCGGTTTGATTTTGTTATCAAACACAAGGATGGTACCCTTAATAAGGCAGCTGATGCTCTTAGTAGGAAACATTCTCTTCTCACGACTTTWCAAAGTGAAGTTACTGCTTTCTCGGCCTTACCTACAACTTACCAAACTGATCCGGATTTCGAAAAAATATGGACTSAATGTCAACAACAMAACCATACWGGAGAATTTCATATSCTAGATGGGTATCTCTTTAAGGGGGATCAACTTTGTATCCCTCATACGTCCCTACGAGAAGCTCTGATTAAAGACCTACATGCGGGAGGTTTGGCCGGTCACTTTGRCCGCGATAAGACACTAACCCTTGTGGGAGYACGCTTCTTTTGGCCTCAAATYCRAAAAGACGTTTATAKCTATRTCTCCAAGTGTTTTATTTGTCAAACTAATAARGGGACAAAACAGAACACTGGCCTTTACATACCGTTACCTACACCAAAAAATATTTGGGRAGATCTCTCTATGGACTTTGTCCTTGGCTTACCCCGCACACAACGAGGTTATGATTCCRTGTTAGTGGTTGTGGACCGATTCAGCAAAATGGCCCATTTTTTGGCTTGTAAGAAAACATCAGATGCCATATATGTGGCAAATTTATTCTTTAGGGAAATCGTCCGCCTACATGGCATACCAAAGACCATAGTTTCGGATAGGGACGTCAAGTTCCTTAGTCACTTTTGGAAGGCACTTCGGCGCAAATTTGATACTTCACTAAAATACAGCACAACAAACCATCCACAAACGGATGGTCAAACGGAGGTAACAAACAGGACTCTCGGCAATCTCATCCGCTGTATTTGTAGTGATAGACCAAAGCAGTGGGATCTGGCCCTAGCACAAGCAGAATTTGCTTTCAACCAYATGCAAAACAGGACCACAGGGAAGTCCCCCTTTGAAGTAGTTTATACTAGTCTCCCAAAACTAACAGTCGACCTCGCTAATATTCCTCTTTCTGTTGATTTCAGTTTAGAAGCCGAACAAATGGCCGAAAGGATTCAACAGTTACATGAAGAAGTGCGCCAACATATTGAAACAACGAATGCAAAGTACAAGCAACGGGCAGATAAAAAGAGGCGCAACCAAGAGTTCAAAGAAGGAGATTTGGTCATGATACACTTAACTAAAGGAAGGCTGCCTTCTGGTACAGCACACAAGTTACAGAAGAAAAAATGGGGACCTTTTGAGGTATTACAAAAGTACGGCCCAAATGCTTACAAAATCCAGCTACCTCCAGACTTCAATATTAGCCCAATCTTCAATGTGGCAGACATATATCCATACGCAGCACCAGATTCTTTTACATTGGCTTCTTAACTCGAGGTCGAGTTTTTTTTAGAGGGAGGGAAAATTGATGTAACTATGAGTAACTACTTTAGTTAACTTTGAGTTAGTTAGTTAGTTAGATAGTTAAGTTGTTAGTTCTTCCCATATCCCTAGGATATTTCCTATAAATAGCTGGTTATTTGTAACTTTTCCTACACTTGAATACAATCCTCGTTTTCTCTCAAACTTGCCTACACCACCGGTAGTCCACACAAAAGCGCCAACTGTTGTCCTTCTTTTTGACCAACAAAACCGGACTTGAGAACGCGCTCTTGCTGGGCTGGATAATCCCTGCCATGAGCATTTCAGTAACCAGCCGCTCGATTTCGTCCTTCTGGAACTGCGGGTATCGATAAGGCCGGACATTGATGGGTCTTGTTCCCGGTAATAATTCAATATTATGGTCACAACACCGGCTCGGGGGTAAAGTACTGAGGGGTTGGAATACCAAGGAATGCAGATTCAAGACGTTTTGTACTAATAAGGGCAACTTACTCCACTCCGTTGCTAAAGGATCCACTGGTGAACCTTCGCTGTCAGGAGAAATAGCATTGAGTTCGACGAGGATCCCCTATCCTTCCCCCCTAACGGCCTTCATCATGGATTTCAAGGAAACTTGAGATTTCACAAGGCTACGGTCTCCTTGCAGATGAATTCTCCAGTCCCCCAGCTGAAAATCCATCTCAGATGAACGCCAATCACATTGAACCTTCCCAAGTGTCATCAACCACTGAACGCCAAGGATAACATCTACGCTCCCGAGGCTCGCACGGAATCGCCTGTTCCCAAAATTATACCATAACTGGGGGAGGCTGAGATAGGCAGATCTAACTCCTGTACTAAACTCTCGGCGATGAAGTTGTGGGGAGCCCCACTATCGATCAACACTACGATCTTCCGGTCGCGAACACTCCCGATGAGCTTCATCGTTTTTGGTGAATCAAGCCCAACCTGTGAAAGAGACAAGGTTGCGCCGCCGGGCTTGTTCTCCTCGGACTCGAGGGATTCCAGTAGCACCTGAACCTCATCGGGTTCCTGTGCCGCCTCTGGCACTACTGCCATTGGAGCTAAGTCCCCATCTTCATCATGCAAGCACAAAACCTGCAGCTCTCTCTTCTTGCATCGATGACCCGGGAAAAAATTTTCGTCGCAACGAAAGCAGAGTCCCTTCTCCCTCTTAGATTGCCATTCATTTTCTGTTAATCGCTTGAAGTTTCCCGTCATTCCGGTTTTTGTGTTTGCGTCACGGCCTGCTGAAGTCGCATTCGAAGTGGCGGCGTGATTAGGGTTTAGCGTGATGGTTCGCGCTATACTCGCAGACCCGGTGGATCCGGTTGCCTTCACGGGTTGGGTCGACGGAGAACCGGGCCCCCGTTTTTGTCGGTCCACTTCGTTGTCTTCCACCAACTGGGCCATAATCATTTTTTCTTTAAGGCCCACGGGCTTCAGCACCCTGAGCTCACTTTGAATTTCTGATTTCAGTCCACTAATGAACTTGCCCTCGAGGATTGAAGATGGGACTCCTTTTAACGACGCCGACAACTGCTCAAATTTCCGGCGATAAGCTTTCACGGTGGTGTCCTGGTTTAGCCGCATGAATTGGACACATTGGTCTCCTTCTTTCGTCAGACGAAATCGCTCAATCAATTGCTCGTGGAATCCCCCCAGCTTGTAATCAGCGGTGTTTGGCTCTCCGTCCACTGGTGCCAGGACAAGGCTTCATCCTCCAAACACAGTATCGCTGCTTCAAGCTTGTCACCCTCGGATAACCTATTGACCACAAAATACCGTTCCACGTGGTGCAACCACCCGTCGGGGTCTTCGCCATCCTCACCCTTGAAAATAGGGACTTCCAACTTCCTTAGACGCATATCGAACAACCAGACTTCGCGCGACCCTCCCGATTTCTCCACCATACTAGTCCCTGTGTTTTCCTTCTTATCCTTCTCGTCTACCCCCATTAGTTTCTTCCCTTTATCAGTGATGGCACGCTCTAAGGATACCGACTCAGTCCCTTCCCTCGTGTGCCCATCGATTTTCTTGACTAATATCTCAAATCCTTGTATTAACCCTTGCTCCAACATTCTGTGCATCTCCTCCTGGAACTGAGACAACCGCTGATCGATCCTCTCCTCCGTCCCCGCTTGCAACAAGGTAATTCGTTCTTACAAGTCGTTTACTCTTGCTTCCATTTTTCCTGTCATACCCAGGACGAATGCTCTGATGCCAAAAATTTATAGAAACCAATTTTATTTATACCACATATCCAAGCCAAGGGAAAATTCGAGAGATCCCTGCTCTCCTATAACCTCACAGAGTCACAATACTCAAGATGACAAAAAACATGAGCAAATAGAAATGTCCCTCCCCTCCTTTTATCTACTATAACCGACCCCCTAACTAACGATATTCCCTTGGGCCCACAACGTTCCCAAGAGTAGACAGCAAGGCAAACCTCTCCTAATTCGCACGTGCTTCTCCTAATTTCTTCTTCCGAGCATACACCTTGGTGATCGGGGGTCTATCATGAGATTAAGAAAATAATGTGCCCCTATTTTCTTGGCTGCCTTATCCATATGATCTCATGTTTCTCATCAGTGAAATTTGAGGTTGTACATGGATGGCATGTTTGTGCTATTATCTCTTTTCTTTATTGCAAGGAGAGGACAACTTTTGACCACGGCCTAATGGAAGTGGGGATCAACCTATACAACAAACCAGGGACTTGTTCTCTTTTAAGATAATCTTATGACTTTATATATATAATCTTTGCAGTGGTGCGCTGACACATTCTGTGAAAGCTCTTGATATCTCTCTCAAGATTGACACGGAGTTGGCCCTTCAAGTTGGAAGACGTACAAAGCGAGCCTGATTGGATCCCCACGTATTTGGTAATGTTTCTGCACTCAATCAGTAGTGCTGCCAAAGCCTTTTTAATTAGGCTTCGCCTTTTTTTTTCCCTATCATCTGCACCTTGTATGGCAGCTATTTTATTTATTTTTTTTAAATGTTTAAGCTTATAAACAATTACTTCTACTTACGTGTTTCTTTGTTTCGTTATCTACCTTTTAGAAACGTTTTCAAAACCTTTGCTGAAAACTTAAAAATTTGAACGTTTTTTTGAAAAATGTGAAAAATACACTAAAGAGATTGGATGTATAATTTTTAAAGATAGAAAGCTAAAAGTAAAATTGTTATCAAATGGGTACTAATATTTCTGTGTTAGCATTCGTATTCATTCATGCATTATGCATATCGATTGTTCTTCTTTTTCTCTTATTGACATGCGTGTTGATTTGATGGTATGCGAAGTTCGAATATTGTTTTTCTCTGCTGAGTGACAAGTATATCAGTCTACTCACCCACCCTTATTCATATTTACAATCTGTTGTTTCCTGTGCCATCTTACTGAACAATAGAAAATGTTGTTATCATTATATCAAGCATTTAAACGGATGTTAATGGCTTTTCTCAACCTCAAATAATCATTTTTAAGGATTAAAGCTTTTTAGTTTTTGGTTTTTCAAATTAATTTTATTCCAGTCCCTAAAATTTCAAACGGTTGTTTATCATAACTTTGCATTAAAAAGACATTTTAGTATTTCCACTTATTTTTTTGCGAACTATTTAATAAAAATCCTTGATGAGTAAGATGTCCACGTGGACAAGTGTCTGAAACCTCCTGTGGTAGTTTAAGTTTTGGGTTTCAAGATTTGTTAAATGATTAATGAAAAATGAAGTGCAAGAACTAAAAAAAGAAAAAGAAGTCTTATTCTTAGTTTGGGAACTTAAACTTATTCGAGGGCAAATAAAGATCCTATGAGGAAAGTTTTTCTTCGGCAAAGCTCAAGGCCTCACATTTGTGTTCTCTTGTTAATTCTTTTTTGCATTGCTCCCCCAGATTGAAAAAGAAAAGATTCCGAGCATCTCTTATTAATGCCAATTGGGGAGCTTTTATCGATTCTTTGTAATTTTGTTTGTTTTTCTATTTTTTCTTTTTGTCACTCTCTTGAGAGTTTGTATCCTTGTATTATCTTTTCATTATTTCAACGAGAAGTTGTATCTTTGTTAAAAAAAAAATTTAGGGACTAAAAATAAGGGTGTGCGGAAGTTAAGGACTAAAATGAAACTGGTACGAAATCACGAGTGAGTTTCAAAATAGGATTTAAACCTTAGTTTTAACTTATTTTAGTTGAAAATTTTGAAGAGTTGAATAGATGCTAAGTTTCAGTTTGTCAAAGGATCAAAAGGGCAATTAAGGAAGAGAGAGAGAGAGAGAGATTTGATCCCATTGATTTCAGTGCTTCTGGGAAGTTTCTTGTGGAACTTATGAAATGTCGAAATCATGTTTGCGTGTATGACTCTAAAAAGTCTTAACATACTTCTTTCTCTCTCTTTTGCAGGGACCAGGGGAGGTGCTTTGGCTTCCACCACTTTTACTTTTTACCTGTGAGTTCTCCATTTCCTGTGAAACAAACCATTAAATAAGACCGGGTCGAAAAATTTCACTACTAGACGAGTACCATATTTCTTTTGTTCACACTATAATTTTGTCTCGATAAATAATTTTTAATGTTGGTGGACTCATAGCAAGCAACGAAGAGAAAGAGTATCCATACTCTCGGAATAGTACCAGGGTTGAAATAAATCGAACCAATCTGAACCGAACCAGTTCGGTAGTACCATGAAATTTTCCCTCTCTTAGCCGCCAACTGAAACTTTATCTCATCTATTATTTGATCTCCAACCAAAAGTTTTTTCCTTTTTATCAATACCTCTCTCTCTCTCTCTCCTGGTTGGTTCTGACTGAAGTTATAATTGTAGTCAAAATGTTGAAGGGGTGAGACACGAGAGTTATGCTTTTTTGTGTACAATACTTGACCCACTTTTATAGGACTAAGATGTTGGCTTCTATATTTATTTTATATTTACTTTTTCTTTGTTTAAGGGATCAATCTTATTTAAATGTCAAATTTAAGTATGGAAGTTTATAATTAGTTGGATTAATTTGTCGATTCGAATCGGTCATTGACATCGGATGTATCTTATTTCCATGTTGATATTTGATATGTTGGTTCATGTCCATCTGATTTCAGAATATGTTAATCACTTATTGAATAGTAAATTTGGTGTCAAAACAATTAAAATGAAATATAATTCTACACCAAATAGATCGGTGTATTTTAATTTCGGTTGAATTATGCATTTGAATTTTTTTTTTAATTAGATTTAAATTTCATTATGGTTCTCAAACTTTAAGTTCGTTATAATTTGATTCTTGAACTTAGAATTTGATTCTTGAACTTCGAAATTCCATTTTGGCCCTGATGTGTCTTTTTTAAAATTTCAAAATGTCTATTTTAATTTGAAATTAGAAAAAAAAAATCATTTTGATTCATAAATATTAATGTCTAGACTGCTAAAAAATTTCACATTTTTCAATATGTATCTACTCAATAATTATTAGTGCTGCATCACTCTTTTGTTAAAAATAAAATTATGGTAAGCAACTTTGTTCCTTCTAAAATAAACATTTTGAAAGTAATAGAATAATAAAATAAATTTAAAAAACACTTTGAAAGTTCAAGACAAAATGTTCATTATCCAAAATTGGATTTGAACTCAATGAAACCTTCAAACTTTGGAATTTTTGATGTTTTAAGAACACTATTGACTAAATGACGACTTAATACAATAGATAAACGGTAAAAGACTAATACAGTAATCACATCAACAAAACGATTATATACGAGAAATATCGTTTGATTTGGTTTTCCAAAAGCAAGAGTATGTTATACATGTCGTAATTTATAATATGCCCGTCATGTCATATTCGAATTAGCTCATGTAATTCGACAATGAACGAATGTTTGAAGCAGAACTTGGAAAGGTCTTGTTGTTGTTGTTGTGTTGTCTTCTAAGGAGATGCCAACCCAACCAACACAACTTTTCATTATTATGCATAAATTACTCATCAGAGGCAGAGGCAGAGGCAGAGCATGTTATGTTATTCCCTTTCCCTTTTGGTTTGTCTTTCATTTATTCCTTTTTCCAATTACCCCCAAAGAGAAAAAGGCACATCCCTCTAATTCTAGGGCTGCCCTACTTATTCCCACATGGCACTCTCTGAAACCTCCACGTGGACATCTCCTGCCTCCCTATCTGATTCTCTGTCTCTTTGCCTTATTTCTTAAGTTATGGTAAGACTTATGAAATCTCTCTATTTAGGTGTTAAAGTCCCCATTTTGCCCTTCTAGCCAATAATGATAATGCCCCTTTGAGTTATTGTGACAATTATAATTATATTGCATAAGTAAAAACTAATAAGAAAAAAAAATTACAAGTTTCAAAGTTGTATCTAATAGGTCCCGTAAGAATGTCTAATACATATAAATTTGTAATTTTGTGTCTAGTAAGTTCTTGATCTATTGGACATTTTTAAAAATTCATCAACTTATTAAACACAAAATTGAAAACTCATGAAATCTATTAGACACTTTTAAACTTCAACAACCTACTAAATACAAAATTGAAAATTTAGAACGTATTAGACATTTAAATTCGTATACCTATTAGACATATCTACATTAAATTACTAAACTTGTAATTTTAACCCAAAAAAATTGATTCCTTGAGTTTGTGGAAAGAAAATCAACATGAATGGATTAATTTAATAAAAGAATTATATGATAAAAACGGTGACAATTTTCTTTTAGAACAAAACATTGCCAAAAACTAGGGCCCAAAAGAAAGCTTGGCAAATACTTGGAGCTCACACCTACTTTTTGAAACCTAACAAGAGATATAAAACAACGAAAATACTTCGTTGTTGATTGGTCACCACCTATTTTACTATTGACAACTACTTAAAATTTGACGGTCTTTCATTTTTTTTCAAAAACAAATAAAATATTTCATTTTTAACATTTCCCTTGCATGTCAAAACTTTAACAGTGGAAGTATTAACCACTCAAAACCGTTCGAGAAAGAAACAGAGAATCAAATCAAGAGAGAAAGAAAAGAGAAGTTGTCTCACAAACTAACAAGTGATCTTTAGTTGAGATACTTGATCACAGAAAACCACAGAAGCAAAATCCATATTTGATTAATCATCAGAAGGCCTCTATGTATGTTGTTCCCACTTGAAAACTTTTCCCCATCAATCAATAATGAAAGCAACTTTTGGCTAATAATCACATTGATCACAAATGAGGAGGCTTAGCCAAAAACAAACAAAGGCTATGATCTTTGAAATTGGTATCACAAACTTAAAAAGGAAGAACCTAAAGCTATGGCAAGTGGGGATTGTGCCAAGTCATGTCATTTGGGGTTTTCTAGCCGACCATGACCCATAAATTCTATACCCCATTTTTCCCTCTTTTTTTTTTCTTCTAAGGTATCATTTTGGTGAAACCCACAACACTTCCAAAGTTTTCATTTGACATCTAACTTTGGAAGATGCCTTTCCTAGATGATGATGATGATATATAATTAATAATAACTAAAAAGAAAAGAGTGTTTTAACTTTTTGGTTTAGAGAGAGGCTAATTTTGTTCTTAAGTGGAGGAGGGTGAGAGAGTTTGATCTTTCTTCCATTCCATCATTGCTGCTCTAGAGAATCACCAAACCTCAATGTAACATAAAAATGCTTTTGAAAAAAAGTTCAAAAGTGATTGGTAAGAAAATACTTGTGGAGTGCTTTTGGCTCAAATGTTTGATCGAGAAGTATTTAAATGCAGTTTAAAGAGTATGTAACTAAGAGTCTGATAATTGTTTTTAAATACTTATTTTATAGAAGTGCTTATACTTCAAGTACTTTTGATAAACATATAGATGGGTTTGAGATGTCTTTTAGCACTTCTTTTATATGTATTTTTAGAATAAACACTAATTAAATGCTTCATCTAAAAGCACTTTATAATGCTTTTAAGAGAATCACTCGTTAGTTTTTTATATCCATAAATTGTCCAATCCAGCTTGAACCCCTATTGATTACTATTACAAGATAGTTGTTTGACTGTACTATTTTTTTTTTTTTTTGAGTTCAGTGAGGAGAGAGGAATTCAAATTTGCAACTATTAGGAAGGGATAAGTAATATATTGACCTCTCTAAGCTAGGCTCGTGTTGGCAACTCTATTATATTTATTGCCAAGAAAATTCCAAAATTTTAAATCCTAAATAGATGACCATCACCAACACCATCAAAACCACTTTCGATCATGTAACCAAACACTATGGAAAAATATTTTCCTTGAAAAGGGCATTTTTCACCTTTTTCAAAAGTCCAACTTATGGTTAAAGTGCTTAATTAGTCCAAATGCAAGAAAGAGTAGTTTTAATCGCACACAGGAATCCAAAATCACAAAAAAGAAAATCCATTTGAAACACATTAAATTTTTGACGAATATTTTTCTTCAGAAAAACTCCCAAAGTCTAAAAGGGGAAAGGTCATGGTATGAAGGCCCCCAGAGTGGTCGCCAAGCCATCCTCATTTTCCAGACAAACACTATCCAAATTATATATTGACTTTAGCCCCAATAAATAAATAAATATATATATATATATATATATATACACACACATGTATATGTCATATGGGAATCTAACATAAACAAAAGAAGGGGGCAAAGGATCATAGAAGTGGGACCGGAGTAGCCCTAATTTGACAAAGAATTTACAATAGAAAATAAAGAAACAGATAGAGTTTAAAATACTAATCAATCAAAAAACAGTAGTTGAGAGAAAAAATATATTAAATATATTGAATGATCCCAATCTTTTAGGTTCTTAAATTTGATCCTTAATTGAAAAAATCTTGTTAGAGGTTATGTCATTTGACACTGGAAAGAAATAGATTTTGTTGATGAGCGAATTAAATTTTGTTGGTGCGGGTTTCATGTGTTAAAGTAGCATTCAGAGGCATATTCACATATCTAAATATGTTAATGAAATAATAATTGATAATACAAGAATTTTTTGTTAACAAAATATCAACGGATCCTTTATGGAATTGCCTAATTGAAAATTTTTGTACATCAAGAATAAATTTTGAAAACTTTCAAAAATCAATAATCAAATCAAGAAAAATCTCAGACCATCTAATATATTAAGCAGAAAAAAGGGCAAAAAACATACCCTTTCACATGATCAAATTGAAATTGATCGGACTAAATTAGAAATATAGTAACTAAATTTGTCATTGAATCGAGCTTAAAATACTAATGAATCAAAAAGTCAAAGGATTCAAAAAAAGAAAAGAAAAAAAAAAGAGCATACCCTTTTCCATGTGGAGATGAGTCAGGCGTGGGCGGCGCTGGCGTTCCCCCGCCCGCCCAGCGGATGCCATTGGCATACCCAAATGACGCAGCACTTTTCACAAACAGTTGGTGTGCATTGTGGAATTTGGACCATCCGCTTCAAAAAAACACCAATTAAAAATCAAATCCAGATGCATGTTTTAATGAATTCAAACTAATGAGCAAAATAAATTGCTGCGGAGAAACGCCAAGAAGAAAACGCAATTGAAAGAGAAAAAACCCAAAAATGAAAAATCAATCAATCGATTAATAAATAATATTGGGGTTGAAAATGACTTGTCTTTCTTTCGGCGAAGCTTGTCAGCACACACGTCGCCTTATCACCAAACCAACGCCAAATGGCTCGTCATCCTCTCCATCACTTTTGGATTTCACTCTTCTTCTTAGTATGGGACCATTTTCTCTCTATCCAACCATATCTTTGGTTAAAAAATTATTTTCCCATTTAGCTTTTAAATTTTAGTTCGTAATAATTTAGTCATGTGTAGTCTTAAATTAATAATAATTTAGTCTCTAAAATTTAGTAAGTAACGGTTTAATCTTTGTAATTTAGTCTAAAAGTCATTCAGCGTCAATCTGGTGAATTCCATTTGGTTAAAGGTCTCGTCCAACTTTGACCTTGTGCACCTAACAAGTCGACCTACGATAATCGACTTTTCGACAATCGTAATTGATGATCAGATAGCTCT